AAATTTACATGCTAAATTACCTGAAGTAACCATTTTTGTGAGTAATTGGGGGATGAAATATTCTTTGACAACTTAATTAATATAGGTAATGGAAATCATTAATTCACTAAACATAAATCGTTAGAAAAACATTAATAAAGAAATGAACAAGAACCTTCTTGACGAAGAAATATGAAATATTTGATATTTTTAAGGGTGCGTTTGGTTTATTATTTTGGATAGGATTTTGAAGATAGTATTGGATAATTGAATATGGGAGTATTACGAGGTAAAATTTAAAAATTTATAAAAAAACCCCCTTAATAAATACCCCAACATGTAAAATGACAAAAATATCCCCACTACCTGCAGTGCCAGATTCTGGTCACCACCGTCGGAATCTGGCCGAAAAATCGCGTTACGACACAGACCAGTTGGATCTGTGTCGTAATGCGTCGTTATGGCCTTTTCCGGCCAGATCCACCATGGATTTGACCGGAAAAGGCCAGATCTAAGGCCTGTCGTGGCCGTCGACGGTCGAAAAAGGCCAAAACGATGGCCATCTTTGGCCGTCAGCAAAGATATGGCTGTCGTTTTCGGTCAACGATGGCCAAGATTTGGCCGTTGAGGTCTTGGCCATCGTTGACCTCAACGATGGCCATTTCTTTGGCCGTCATTCACGGCCAGATCGGTGAACTTCTGGCCATTTATGGTCGTCAGGTAGGCCGTTGTACAGATTTCGGCTACCACCGAACTATGGGTCGTGGGGGTGTTTTTGATAATTTTTAAACTTTTTTTTCAAGGTGTATTTGATGAAATTAATAACCTTATGGGGTCTAAAAGTAATTAAAAAAATAGGGTAATATTTCTGGAATAATGTGCCAAACATTATTTGGAGAATAGGATTGGGAATAGGGATAAAAATAATAAGCCAAACATGGCCTTTTATATCTAGAGAGCATCTGATGTCATCTATTTCGATAAGGTAATAAGCTTTTTTAGAGAAAACTTGAATCTGTTTTAACTTTTGAATCATAATTTTTCATAAATAAAGACAATCTAACATATTTGAACTCATTGCAAGTTTTGTGATTTAGAAAGATGAATAAGACTGAACTTATAGAGTTAAGATAAACTAAATGAATTTTGTTTAGATTTAAATTTTAAATTTGAATCTAAAAACATTCACATGATTTCACATGTTTGTGACACACTTTTCCATATAACGTTAATCTTTAATTGACAGATGGCAAATTCATGATTCAAATTCTAAGATGAAATTCAGATTTTTAACACTCATTTAAATCCAAAATCAATTTCATATTATTGATGCTTAATTTTGACATCAACAACTCCATACATGTAAAGTGCTAAAAAGTCACATATGAGCTAATTATAGTAAATGGGTGAGATATTGTGGGCACAATAGCATGCAAAGACGTAAATATAAAGTTAACAAGATAATTTTTATAGTGGTTCAGATACTTAAAACAAATCCTACATCCACTTTATTCATTTATATAAATTACTTTCTGATCACTAGATAAGCTTACAAGAGGTCGTGAACTACGATCTAGGATTACAGGTGTTTGGTGTTCTAAGTGTTCTTAGAGAATGTCAAGTTAGTCTTTTTCTAGTAGTGTGTCTTTGCTATTTTTTGTGTTGAATGCATGAATGTCGCATCCCATTTTATAAGGGGGAGCTGCCTATTTATACCCGTTTAGCTCAAGGTAATTATCACACTTTTGCAAGTAGCCTGATGCCGTGAAGATCTCTCTTGCCTTCCCATTTGTTGAGAAATAAAAGAATATCCTTAAATTAAATAAGGCTTGGATAGGTGTGCGAACCAAATTCACCCAAACACAAATTCTTAAGTCGGTTTGGGTCTGTGATAACTATATTCTTTTTGCATGTGGAGACGTGTTATGTTCTGGACAATAAAATGATTTCCTAGATTCTAATTGGTGCTCGACGATGTCAGCATAAGTCAGCCCTTATCCTAGGCATAACACATGTGATTTTTTATATGACGTTCATCTTTCTTTGATAAGTGGTGAATTCATGATTAAAATTCTTTGATGAAACTCAAAATTGAGAACTCCTTAAAATGCAAAATATTATAATATGATTTCACATGTTTATGATAGATTTTTCATATGAAAGTTTATCTCATTTGCTAAAAAAAAGGTATTTATAATTTAACCTCTATAGATAACGCATCTTACTTTTTTAAAAGTAGTCATGAAACTCAATATCTAAAACGTATTGAAAGTTTCAATTTGAGTATGACAAATGGCAGGAGGTCTAGAACTTTTCCGAAAACAAGAGGGGGTTTATTAATAAGATATATCTTGGAGGATTTGGAATAATATTCCCAAGTTTCCTAATAATTGAGACAGTTATTAACAATGTTGCCCTCAAAGTTTAATCAAATAACAAAAATCTCTTTGAGGTTTCTAAAATAATATAAATCTTTCTGTCATTAAGTTTTTAGTGATAAAATAAATAATAAAAAACGTAATTTTACAAATATTTATTAATTTATAATACTGCAAAGTTTAACAGTAAATTAATGATTCACTAATAGTAAGGGTTTTATTATTTCAAAAATCTCAAGAAGGTTTTTTTATTACATCAAACCTAATTCTTGTTACTCTAATTGATATGGGGTAGATGAAATAAAACACTAACATAAATAATTTTAGGTTTACAATCTCTTAAAAACCTTAATAATCTCATAAAATCGTATAAAATAAATAGTTTTAGGGTGTATTAGTTCTTATCTATTACTAATTTCGTGTAGGTGCGATTTGCTATAAAACGTAGAATTTTCCTTATTATGTTTATTATTTTTCTGATTATTTATTTTACTCATAAGAAGTTTCAACATGACAAGAAAATAGATATTGAATTGATTTTATTAATAAAACTCAAATACCACATTTGATAAAACTGAAAATAAATTATCTTCTACATCTTCAATAAACTCAAACAAAAGTTTCTCCTACATCTTCAAGAAACTCTACACCTTCCAGAAGCTAGCTAATTGTTGAAGAACAGGAATGCTCCCACCTCGATTTTGGCCAAGTTCACAAAGCTCAAAACTATGGGCCAAGGGCGATAATGGACGCAACCGTTCTTCATATAATTAGAACTTCAAACTGCAAATTTAATCCAAAAAGATGATTAGATATGACGGTTACAATTAATCTCATTTTTGCTAAATAATGTTCATATGATTATTACCCTTCTCTAGCTTCGAGATGATTTGATGTTGCTTCCTGGCAAGAGCTATAAATTAAACCACAACAATGTATCAGTTATTTGACATGTTAAAAAACCCATAATAAAAATCATTAAACTCACTTAACATAAATTGACCAAAAAACATTGATAAAGAAAGGAATATAAACCTTCTTGACGAAGAAACGTGAAATATTTTTGATATTCTTCATATCAAGAGAGCATCTGATGTGCTTTTGTTTTCCCCATACCATCCATTTCTATAAGGCATCAAGCTTTTTTGATGAAAACTTGAACTTGTTTTAATTTTTGAACCATAATTTTTCACAAATAAAGACATTCTAATATATTTTGAACTCATTGTGAGTTTTGTGGTTTGGGAAGGTGAATGAGATTGAATTTATAGAGAGTTAGGGCGGACTCAACGAGGTATTTGGGCGAACTAAAATAGGTAACTCATTAAATGAATTTTGTTTAACTTTTAATTTTGAATTTGAATCTAAAAGCATTCACGTGATTTCACGTGTTTCTGACATACTTTTCATATAAGGTTTATCTTTAATTGAGAAATGGTAAACTTATAATTCAAATTTTCTAACGAAATTCAGAACCTGACACTTGTTGAAATCCAAAATTAATGTCACATGATTTCATATATTATGATACACATTTTATATAATGCACATCTGTAATTGACAAGTGATGAATTCATGATTCAGATTCTCTAATAAAGTTCAAAATCTAAAAATAGTATTTTTCATATCATAATAAGATTTTGATCTTCAACTCTTTCGAAGTTTATGACATGAATTCACTGCAGTGGTTAAATCCAATGTTTTAAAACTCGGTCCAGCCCGGCCTGTTTAACCGAGACTCGGAAGCTTCAACGAGCCAGGTTTATATTTTTGCTATTCACCCAAAACCCTAGGATTTGGGAGGATGATCGACGAACAATTGACGATCATGATGTTAGGGCTTTTCAAGAGAAAGTGCTGGTGATTGTAATGATGATTGTAATGGTGGTGAAAGAGTTGATTTCCAATGAGTAAATCGAACAAAACTGGCAACGGAAACAACCGGCTTTTGCCTGCAATTGGCGAGGCTAACGGGAGTGGGGTGAGGTGAGTTTTGGTCGGAAGGAAGAGGAGAGTTGCCTGGTTTCACCCCGAATTGGGTTTTAAAACATTGGTTAAATCATAAATACATTGATTAAAAATATTATAATTGTTCGCAAGCTAAGATTTACAGAAACTATTAAGGGTAATTGATTTTTACTTATTCCATATGTTACGGAATTTTTTTTTTTTTTTCCTTTTTTACGAAATTATTGTTCGGGTCATATTTTTAAAAGTAATGGACTTAAAATGCGTTGGGCGTTTGCTATAAAAGGAAAGGAAATTTTCAGATATGCAAGGGAGTATTGCAGAAGATGATAGAGAAAAGAAAGAAAAACAAAAATAGTTTCTTCGTAAAGACCATATTACTTTACTTCGACTAAGGGGATTTTTTATACTTTGTTAGAATTGTGAATTAATTTTTCATTAATCAATATCATAGGATATATGTAATAAACCCTTGTATAAACAGTATTAAATATACAATCTCTTCAAGCTTTCATAATATAATAAAATCATATAATATAAGCTGATCACATTTTAATTTTACAAAAAAAAATTGTTGCAAACACAAACTCTTCAAGCCTTGATAAAATTATATAAACTGCTCACCTTGCACCAGAAAGAGAGCGAAAACCAACCGCCGGGAAAGATCAAAAACAATATAAGAAAGCACCCACTGCTCAATTTTACAACAAACATTATTTGTTCCCGCAGAAAATAATTGAACAAACTTTTTGGGAGATCAGTACACCCTAAAACAAATGTTACATTCAAACGATAATTAAAGCATAATGTTTAAAATAAAATAATGAAAAGCAAGGACCTTACTACAGAAACCAAAATTTTGAGAACATCTCCAATGAGAGGCTTTACCACCAAGCAGTTCCCAAGCCATATGATATATTTACGAGATTCATAATAGGAGTTACATATATGGACCTTTACATTAGTCTTAATTCATATTCACCAGCCATTGTTATGTATCTCACCCATGGAAGAGCCTGGTATCCGGATTTTTCAATGATCTTTAAGTATCGAACCTAGTGAAGCCAAATGTTAAATGGGCACATCAGTTGAAGTCAAACTAACATTTACATAGTGAGATACACTATCAAATGAAAAATTCCACGAAACTTCTTCTAAGAAACTTTTCTATCTTAGACGATAGGAGGTAAAATGCATGTCAAAATGAGATAAAACTTTTTGGGTGTGTGAATGAATTAATTTTGATACCTCACCAGAAGGAAAAAGTACGTATTGTAAAATATACTAACAGGGTATAAGGCCAATAATCAGAGTGCATCAATATGCTTGCTGTAAAACAGCATTTAATGTGTAGTTTAGACATGAGCAGGCTTCCAGTACATGCAACACCAACTAGAAACCCATTATGGACCCAACTTCTGATACTGGGGTTTGGTTTAAGAAACTGAGAAAATGATATTGATAAACATACCTGAATCCCTGAGACAGTAAAATATGGTATCTCAAACTTCACACGGATGGGAGCCTTTCTATCAGGAGTTGCTTCTTCAGCTGTTATACTAGGAAGACTAAACTCAGCCCTCAACATATACTCCTACACAATTTCATTGAAAACATGGTTAGAAAAATGTGAGGGAGTCATTAGAACCAAGTAAACATAAGTTGTCAGATATACATGGCATGCTGACATTTAATAGAAACAGCCATAAACCAAATCTTACCCTATTACCCGGGAAAGATTTGATCTTCCAGACCAAAGCATCATTCTCAGGAGCATATGCTGCTGACCCCATTGATGTCCGAACATTAGGATTTGTAGAATCAGATGGGACAGGCAACTCGATTTCAACATTTGTTGCAGTGCTGATGCAGAATCAGTGAATAATTCAGAATAAAACAATGGTCCTCTCAATTTAACTCTACCAAGTTATATATCAAATAGCTGTGCAAAGCAAACAATTCATAGCCCATGCACACCACAGCCCTACCCACAACTGTTTTAAAGTTTATAACATGAATTCACTAGAATGGTTAAATCATAAGTACATTGATTAAAAATACTATAATTGTTGGAAAGCTAAGATTTACAGAAACTGTTAAGGGTAATTGATTTTTATCTTTCTCTATGTTACCCAACTTTTTTTTCCTTTTTACAAATACCATTTAAATGATTGTAACAAACTAAGACCTTGGACATCTGATTCTCCTAAAAAGAAAAATTCAGCATATAATTATTTTAACTCTACAAATTGTTCACTGCAAAATGGTTATTAGGAGCATTCCTTAGGGACAGAAGATCTTGACAGAAGTGGAAGAATTTGGCTTTAATCCAAAATATGTGCGAATAGAATCTTAGATAGCGATAAAATTTTCAATCTTTTTATACATAGACTGTCCAAGTTGTTATGCCTAAAAAATCAAGGCTGATGAGCTTACATCAGCAAGCACCAATTAGAGTTCATGAAGGCTTTGTGTCGTCTAGGAGTTGCCACGTTGCCCCAAGATAGAAAAATACGATTGTCATCAACTCAGCAGATTTAGGTTTTGTTATGAGTGAATGGGGACCGTACAACTATCCAGCCCCAGACAATTTGAGGATATCTCCTAATTATCAGCCAAGGGAGGCAAGGAAGGACTTACATGACACCTACCCACTGCAGATTTGTAATCATTACCTTGAATTCAGCTACTATAAATATAGGACTCCCCCACTCATTTTCAGGATCTTTACTTTCCTAACATCAATTGCAAAGACAACCTACGGAAAGAGACTGACTTGATATTCTCTCTGAATACTTAGTTATTGTACCTTTGCTTGCTATTCGCTACACGCGACCTTTTGTAACATTCATTTATATAAAAGAAACAGTGGACGTAGGAATCGTTTTAAGCATCTAAACCACTATAAAAATCATTTGTCTTATTATAATCTGTATGTGCATTCAATATTATGTTTAATCTTTTCCTAGCTTCAAAATCAGTTAATCATGTGTAATTTCTAAGGCCAGCTTGGCACTTTGCTTGTGCGAGGTTGTTGGTGTCAAAATCAAGCATAACAGTTTGATGTTAGGGGAAGGGCACGATTTCACATCAGCTCTTTTTTCAGTATATCTGAAATTAGCTCTATCTACAAATGGCTCGAGGTCTTGATACCGAGTGCGCCAGTATCAATAACAAGTAGATCCCTCAGGTATAGGATGATACTTCTCCCGGAGCACCTCCGGCTCCTAAAGTACCGCGGTGGGCATCCCTTTGACCTCTCAGACCTAATCCGGCTATAATGGATTATCTGAAAAGGTTCAACACCTTCCAAACGGTAACAAAGGTTAGATCATTTGGATGAGGTCGTATCGCCCAATTGCGATCAGGATATGCCGCCTCCAAAATGCCTATAGGTCGCATAAAGCATGAAAATGGGAAAAGCTCATACCATGCAAACTACAGTGCGTAAAAAAAAGGGAAAACAGGTGGTTGACAATGGGCCAAAAGCTCTAAAGGGCCAATGAATATCGGTTGTGAAACAGGCAGAATACCTGTGTCATTGCGACTTGGCAGTATGCTACATCATGAGCGTCCCACACCACATTGCATGGGCACCCCCATAAGGTGCTGGCAATGAGACTCCCACTATTGCCAGACTGATGGCTCAACCATCACCACGAGGGAAATACTGATCATCTGTGGGTCGTTCTCACTACCACGGAGGTCGGGATAACTCCCCAAGTCATTTAGTGCCTTTACATGGCTCCAGCCAGACGTGTCAAGGAATGCCGAAGGCTCTGGCTAGGCAGGGAAGAGTCCGACTACGGTCCTTCCTTAATCGTATCATGGGGACTGTGCCACATTGCGAAAAGTGATCCCTAGGTGGCTTCGCTTCCTCAGATTGAGGAGTTACAATGAGCTCTTGATCAGCTTAAGCTAGCAGAATGAGCAAGGGCAGGTCGCTGAGGCGTCTTCCTTTTCTCAGCAGTACTACTGCTCCTCTCCATCAAGATTTAGAATGCCCGAATGAGAGCATTCAATGGGAATTCTGATTTTAAGGATCACTCTACGAGTTAAACCTCATGAAGCTTAACCAAGTTTCCAACTTGGCAAAATGTTGTTGCTTAGCAGTGTGACTAACTACCCATGCAAAACGTTGGTTCAGATCGCTTCCATCAAGGTCTATTAACTCGTGGCAGGAGATGAGCTAGTTATTCTGAGACACTTCCAAGCCAATCAAAAGTTCTCAATGCCGTTTAGTTATCTTATCACATACGGCAAGAGAGGAATGAGTCCCTCTGTCCTACATAATAGGTTCCACAAGAAATTGACTAAAGTGACTAATACACCCAAAGATTCAGTTTGAACCTCATTATAGCTGGGGTTCGCCCAAACAGACCTGTGGAAAAAACTGCAGTTTGAGGACAATATTTCCTCACTCACTTCTACAACCCACCTAGAAATATTTATAGATAGAAAACTCAGTGGCTGCTTTGAATAGCCTTGAGCTCGGTCCTTTGACCAATGTCCAATTGGAGGGAGGAAAATCGGGGAGAGGGTAGTAAAAGATCTAATCGTATGGGCTAAATGACGATTAGAGAAAGGGAAAGAAATAACGGTTTGAGCCCAGAAATCCTATGCCCAAGTTCCTCGTCGTGATCGCAACAAGAATTTATTTACTTCATTGAATGCATCGGTATTAGCTATTCTGAATAAATATGAGAGCTAATCTTCTCGGAGAGCCAAAGCCCAGAAAAATCCCCTTCTAGAGAAAACAACAAGAAGTATTGTCGTTATCATCAGGATAATGGGCACCATATCGATGAATGCCAAGCTCTTAAGCATACTATTAAAGGCCCATTCAAAGAGCACTTCAAGGAGTCGTTGATGGTCCAACTCCCCATGGAGAAGGATCAAGAGGGCATGAATGAAGCATCGTGGTTGCAAGGGTCTCCATTTGGTGGGGACTATCTAGGGATACACATTGCGAGAAATTCTCAAGGTGCTCAGGAGAAGTACACTCGAGAAGCTCGTCATGAGCCCGTGAGGTTTTAACAAGGCGTCGCGACTTGATAGGCTCCCAGGGAGAGAGGAGATTACCTTCTCTGAGAAAGACACGGTACGATTGCATCACCCTCATAAAGATGCACTCATCATCGCGACTGAGATAGAAAGGTGCAAAGTCCACAGAATGTTGATGGATAATGGAAACGCTGTGAACATCCTGTTTCAGCGAGCATTCGAGGAAATGTAATTGAAGGAGACAATCTAAAGCTTGTCTCAATCCCCTCTATGGCTTTACTGGGAATCATTTGATCCCAAAGGAACGATTGCCCTTCTAGTCACTTTGGGTGAGACCACGAAGTGACTAAGATGACAAAGTTTCTAGTGGTAGATTGTATGTTCGCTTTTAATGGCATATTAGGACGATCTTTATGCGAAAGTTTAAAGCCGACACTCTACTATATTTTGAAAATAAATTTTTCACTCCAACAGGGCTGGGGAAGTCAAGGGGTCTCAGCGTAATCTTGCGACTGCTATTTAAGAGCAGTACCGATAGCATGCAAAGGGAAATGGAAGAGTGGGTGCTCCCGACAGGCAATAGCGATCGGAAGATCGAACCACAACCCGGTCTAGTGAAAGACAACATTGATCCTTGTGTTAGGAGGAGTATTCCATAGTGGGCCTGTTGAGACTTTATTTGAGTATTAGTCGACCAGAATGAGCCAACTCGGTGTCAAGAATCGGAAGCAATCTCAGCCCTCAGCTCGTTACTGATTTAACGAGCTTCATCAGGAGAATATAGATGTTTTTGCATAGACTCATGACATGGGCGGGATCAGCCTAGATGTTTATGTCATGCACTCAACATCAACAGTGAAGTCAGACTAGTCACTAGAAGAGAAAAGCTATGGACCCAGAGCATTACGTTGCTCTTAAGGTTGAGGTGGACAAGCTTCTTTCAATTGGGTTCACTCAGGGGCTTAGTACTTGAGTTAGGCACCAATCTTATTTTGGTGAAGAAACCAATGGTAAGTGGCGAAACTGTGTTGTTTCATAGATCTTAACAAAGCTTGCCGAAGGACAATTTCCCTTTGCCAAAAAGGACAGTTTCCCTTTAGTCTAAAGAATGCGGGGCGACTTACCAGCATTGGTTAACCTCATGTTTTCTAAGCAGATTGAGAAATTGATGGAGGTCTATGTTGATGACATGTGGTCAATCAATGTCGCTCTAGATCACATAGCTAACCTCGCGAAAATGTTTGATATACTTTAGAGATATATAATGAAATAATCCTCTTAAGTGTTCATTCGAAGTATCCTAAGGTAAATTCCTAGGGTATATGGTTAACATCGGGGAATTGAAGTAACCTCGAAAAGATTAAAGTCTTCTAGATATGAAAAGTCTCGCCAATAAAAACAAGTCTAGAGCTTGAATGGGAGAATAGCGCCTCTCAGTCGCTTCATATCAAGAGCAACAAATTGTGTTTGTTGTTCTTCAATATACTTAGAGCCAACAAGAGATTTGAATGGACTCTAGAGTGTGAGCGAGCCTTCCAGACCATAAAAGGCATCTAAAAAAACCACTTCTTTTGTCCAAGCCTCTTCCTAAGGAAATTCGTTTTCTCTATCCATCCATCTCGCAATATGTGGTCAGTGCAACCTCATTCGGGAAAAGGGCAGAATTCAATGACTAGTGTATTAACGAGCAAACGACTATTGGATGCCTAGACACGGTTATCCAAAGATGGAACGATGGCTTTTGCCTTGCTGATCACTTCCAAGAAGTTGTGACCTTGCTGCCATGCCCACGTCATCATATATTGACCAATTATCCACTTAGGTAGGTCTTTCAAAAGCTAGAGGCTTAGGTAAGTTGTTCAAGTGGGGCTATGGAACTAA